TCACTCCTGTGAAAATGTTGTTTTCTGAAAGGCTGAACGCCAAAAAGCAACAGTCGCACGCTTCCTTCTGCGCCGTAATACAGTTGGTGGGTGTAGTTCGGTTCACAGAAAATAGTTCCTAAATAAAACTATTAACAACAAGACTGTTGGTTATCTTTTAGTAGCCGGGTCATGGTGTTTCTCAGTTTCTCAAATCTAGTTATTCACTAATATTCATATAGTGCCACTATAATGGAGAGAAGGGCAGACATCTCTACGGCTGATCTCTCCAACACTCGACACTGAAGACTGCAGAAATAACTTAACGTATCCCAGTCTCCTGAATGCAGGTTGAATGCACCCAACCCCCCGTGGGCCTTGTGAGTGTTACACCTTATTGCAAACAACACCCTTTCTCTATGTTTTTGTGGCCTGCTTTCTAACCTTTTTTCTATCTTTTGTTTTTGTTGAAGCAGCATGAGGGCTGAGCGATGGACTCACAGCTGTACGGTTCTGGGAGGAGTCGATCCCAGGCCAGCAGGGGGGTAGATGTGGTTTCAGGGGCGGAGAGGGTCCTAACTGTTCAACTCTCTCTGTGCACCTCATTGCTCTTCAGTGGTGAACGCGGTTCACGAGTGGTGATTCATCACTCACTAACACACACACACACACACACACACACACCAAGCTGAGAGCTTCCGCCGATGACGAGCCGCAGAGTAGCCGGAGGGTCATTCCAGACGCTTCTCAGTATCCTCTAAAACTGACATTTTATACTTTTTTTGTTACACAGGCACCTCCCACTGCAGGTATGTGGTGGAACCACCTTTTGATGCCAATTAGCTGGCGAGAGCGAGGAGCATCTTTTACTGGATGTGTCATTCCGAGCAGAAACAAGAAGCAGACCTGGCTCTAAGCCCTCAGCTGGAGTCTGAGGCATGATGGGACTTTCTTTTAGAGAGCGAGGGCGGCCCACGGGAGCCTGTGTCGGGCTATTACAATACAAGGTGAAAATGCTCAAAATGAATGGATAGAATATCCATTTTAGGGGGAGAGTTCATCCTCTGCTCAGTGTGGCCGTTACTCCACTAACAGAGCAGATACTTGTTTACTGCTCTATTGATGCTCTGGATATCGGTACAAAGATGCGGTTCTATCAAAGCAATGACTGTGAGCCCAATGACAACGGGGACAGAGATTTAGATGTTGGTGCTTGGTCGCTCCTTGACTTTGAGTGAGTAGAAGGGCTCCGTGTCACCAGCAGCTGAGCACATGGCTGTGGCAGGTTACGTGATGCCCTCCTGCTCTCATCCTCCTCAACCTAAGAACCTAGGAAGTGTTTAACTCAAGGTTTGGGTGGAACATCGGGGCGGTCGATATTAAAAGTTGTAGATGAGGTAATGAAAGGCTATTCTTTTTCAAACAATGTAGCTGCTTTGTTTTTTAACAGCTGTTTTGTTCTGGAGCCTGGTTTCTGGATACAAAGTCAGCTATAATTAGGACTAGAAATGTGTTTACATAACTCCCTTTTTCCCTTCTCGTGATATTATGACAAGTGCCAACGCTCTCTCCCTCCCTCCCTCCCTTCAAGCTAACATAACAAGTGCAGAATCATTTCAGTGACCTGTTCACCTGTGTTGATGAAGCCCGACTGATATCAGCATTGCCGACATTCGTCTCAATGTTTAGCAAATCACATATTGTTGACCGAAAAAAATAAATTGCAATACACTAATGCTACACGTGTGTTAAAGGTTATTTAGACAAACATTCACTGTCAGTTTATTTTCACCTGTAAAATATCAATGGATGAAATGAGAACGTTAAAACAGAATCACCACCTGAATCTGCAGCTCTCCTCGGCTTTACGGAGTTCCAGCTCATTATTTAGCCGTCTGGATGGAAACCTTCTCTCCACTCTCATAGTGTTGTTTTCGGCCACAGCAGACACGCAGTCTACAAAGTCCTGATTCCTGCTCAGCACCAAATGGCAGAAAGACACAACTGGCGACTAGCTAGTGAACAAAGCGGAGCGTTGAGCTGTTAAAGAGCAGATATCGTTCCTCGAGTGGAGCGGTGAGAATGTTCCGCTCCTCGCTTCCAGAGCTGTTCGTTCCTTCAAACAAACAAGCTGAGTTGTATTTTAATTAGAACTGAACCGATTGAAGTTTTCGGATGAAGCTTCTGAACGGTGCTGTTGCTCTGTGACTTTTCTGGATGGAGTCAATTTGCAGCTTCTTGCTCACAAATTCGCCGACAACTTCCGCTGCCCCGAAGAGGCCAAAACCAGTCAGCTGCTGCAGGTTTGATCACTAAACGTACGGGGGTCCTTGTGTGTCACGCTGAGAACAGCAGTATGGCTTTAAGAGAGGAAGGTAGCACAGGCTTGACATGATACTTGGCCTTAGTCAGTCACCTGATAAGACGCCTACAGGCACTGAGCTGCTGCTTTACTGCAAACAGGCTCCACACTGAAGCTGCCAGCTGAGAGAGATGAACAAACAAGGGTACACGTTCAAGAGAAATGTGGGCGCGAGCAAGATATTTGAGTTTAAAACTCATTTTCTTACACAATAAAGCGTTGGATATTACATAACCTGGGCACAGCTGCCTTCGTTCTTCAAAGATCATTTTTTTTCAGCATCCAGTTTGGAGTTCACTCAGATTTTATTTTTACGTTTACAGTATTTTTCCCACCGTATTTCCACTCTATTGAGCTTAATTCTACACCATACTGGAACCACCTCCGGTGCAGCGCGCAGACACCATGCTGATGAGATGGGATTTTTCTTCTGGCTTCGGAGAATAACAAAGGTAGAAACAAGTGTAGATTCAACCTTTAAGGCTTCAGCACAGCCCTCCAAGCACCTGACAGGACGCGTCTTATTCCTCCAGGTCGTCAACTCACTCGCTCTTATTGACACTAACAAAGCACGTGTGTGGTTGTGCAGCTGTGCCGTTTGGTGTTTAACTAGAGTGCACCCGTCAGGACACCCGGGTTGCAGGTTTCGTGGTCGGTGAGAACACTGGAATTATCCTCTGGGTAGCATGCACCCCGGTTCACCGAGTGACGCATTTGCCCTCGCAGTGCGTAACAGTTTTTATGCAAAACAGAGCCACTGGCCATACCGCACACAGTGATGTTATATATGCTGGCTTATGCAAATGAGAGACCTTTCACAGAGCATTTACATCAGGGTGGGAGATGAACTTTTTGATCCAGTGGCCTCTGTTTATAAATCCAACCTGCTTATTATTGCATTACAAACGAAAACCTATACTCCAATATCACAGTGTAACAGTTTGAACTAAATCTGATCACCTGGTCATCTTGAGACATGGAACAGTCTAAATAGATGCAACGTTTTCTAGTTATTGGTATCGGTCTACATGGTGGTTAATATGGACCCTGTATCCTACAAAATGACGTTCCCATACAAGTAAGCTACATTCTCAATTATCTTTCAAGGGACTACGGTCTTAAGATGTTTAACGCCGTTGTATTCAGGCAACAAGAGTACTTGGTTATGTTTAGTAAAGCATCACGGTTTAGCTCAGGTGTGACTGCCATGTTGGTTACGGACATAGATTGAAATAAGTCGATGTTGACTTTTGGTTTTGCACGGGACACAAACGGCGGTCTGCAGGGTGAAAGTCCTGTGTGTGGACTTCCACAGACTCCCATCAGAATGATATGAAACTAATGTAAACCTGGACAAAATATGTGTAACTCAAAATGGATTTGACGATGACATTAAATTTCCAAATGATGCTTCCATGTTGACTGTCGCTCCGAGCCTCGAGGTCTAACGTGATGTAAGAGTTGTTGACGTTGCCTCTTTGGTAAGACCGCGATCAGAAGGCTTTGTTTTCTTTGTTTGGCCAGGGAGTCATCCCGGAGAGCCCGGAGAACCCGTTTCCCAGCGTTACGGCCGCTCACGTCAAAAAACATGAGCTCTGAAGTTGCGTTGCTTGTATGTTACCTGATGGGGCTCGTAGGAATGTAAAGATGCATACGTGATGCAGATATGAGACGGTAAGCGGGGTTTATTTTGTTTTCTGTGCAGAATCTCGTGCCCTCTGCAGCAGCTTGCTCTTCTTGGACAGAGTTGCTGATACCTGTCACCGTGCGAGCCTGCGTTTGGCTCCTGAATGCGGACGTGTCGACACGGACCTGATGCCAGTCCCTGTCACTTTAGCTGGGGATGACGGTACTATATCAACAAATCTTTGCCATCATGTTGCTCTCACATCAAGGCAAAGCTACGAGTCAGTTTTGATCAGGGCTGCCTGCGACTCACCAAGATAGTTTTTTTGCATTTTATTCGACAGTAGAGAGAGAGAGGGGGGGGAGGTTCCAACAGCTAGTCCTCCTGAACACGCCACTAGTTCAACTATTGATTTATCGCTCACAAATTGTTTCATTCCAAGGCGCCCTCTGAAATACATGTTGGGGAAATGGAGGGAGAGACTTTGAGCTGCACCAGAAAGTTAGGTCAGCTGTCAGTCTTTGGTTGGGCTTCGGCCTGATTTGGTTTAACTTCAATAAATTATGATCCACAATATTCTTTCTTGAGAGAGACAAAGCAATACTGTGTGCATGCTTTACGGAAAGATCCCGTGACTACAACAGCGTTACGCTGTGGCTTTATCCCCGTTACGCTCTTGGTTTGACATTGTCCGATCACATCGCAGTATGCGTGGACAAGTGCAGAAATATGTGCATGAGATCGTTGAGAGAGATACGCTCACATTCATGGAGAAACTAGTTTAGTCAGTCTGAGCTATTTGTCGGATAAAGCGACGGTGACCAGGTGAGCAACAGGACGACATGTTGCATCTTGTGCCTGCTGCGTTGGGGGGGGGGTGTCTTGACACGAGGCTTGCCTTCGCTGCATGCGGCCTGCCATAGGCTGCCGACTGGTGAGCTGGAAAGTGGAGGGGAGAGGTGGGTTGGATAAGTAAGGGAGGCACTAGGACCCAGCGGCGAGACAGCGAGTAGGCAGACAGAGTGAGGCTGAGTCACTGCATGTGTCTGAGAGGCAGTCAGACACAGAGCAGAGCAGAGGGAGCAGAGGTGATCTCACACTCATCAGCACAGGATAACACAACCATGATGGGTTGACTTGGGGGGGGGGCAGGCGGTTGGAGAGAGGAAGTGTGCGTTCGCCACCACTTGCTCAGCCATGGAGACCAACAAAGTTCTACATTTTGTGCCTTCGGGTAAGTGGATCCAAGCTCTCAGAGCTGCTCCTCAGCTGTGCACGACATGTCGTTGACTTGGGAGAACCTTGGGGGTTCCCTACCTAGTGAAACCTGAGAACCCCTCCTGTGCACATACATGTGCAGCCCACCTCCACTCTGATGTTTGGGTTTGTGCATGTGTGCCACTGTACATACTTGGTGTTATCTGTGTGGCAGAAATCTTTGTTTTCATGTTATTCTCAGAGGAGGTGGAGTTGTAGAAGCCACATTATGCTTACACAAATGTAGATGTGGTTTATCTTTGTGCGTTTGTTTTTTTGCTGCATTTTTGTATGAGTGCGCGTTTGGCGCTTTTTTTCTCTCTCTCTCTCTCTCTCTCTCTCTCTCTCTCTCTGGTTTGTCTTCTTGTTGATCATGTCTGGTATGCGACACAAGTGGTTCCTGCGTCGTAGTGCTTCAGTTTAGGAACTGAACCGTTTGTTTTAGAAGTGACACCCAAGCCAAAGGCGGTAGACCTGTCGAGCAGAGACAGACGGAATGCAGAGCTCACAATGCACTTTCTCATGTGTTGCGCTGATGGGGGGGCTCGTGCAAGTGCGCATGCCAGACGGAGAGGGATGGACACGGCACATGAAGCACTGTGTGTGTGTGTGTGTGTGTGTGTGTGTGTGTGTGTGCGCGCGTGTGTGTGAGACTAGATTAGTGTTGGTGACAGCCACAGGAGAGCAGCGAGTTCCCCCATCACTGAAAGTCCTCTAGAGAGACCAGAGCCCATTTGGAGGTGTGATGCGGCTGCCTCCCTACTTTCATTTTGTCTGGGAAGGCAGAGTGGAATACTGTGTGTGTGTGTGTGTGTGTGTGTGTGTGTGTGTGTGTGTGTGTGTGTGTGTGTGTGTGTGTGTGTGTGTGATGGGAACATTATGTGGGATAATAATGTGAGTGCGGGAATATTATCTGAGCCAGTGTGTGTGTTTTTGTTTGTGTATGGGGGAATGTGGGGGAATGTATCCGTGCATTTTTGTGTGTCGTGCTCTTGTGAGATGCGTGTGTGTGTGTGCGTGCGTGAGCGTCACGCACCGTGCACACTAACTACATCTCAGAGTGTGTGTCGGGGCGTGATGGACGCTGCTGTGGCTCGTCCTCTGAAGAGTCATTTGAATTCATTTGCTCGGTGCTGATTGGAGGCGGAGAGGGCAGGTTTGATCCTCGCAGCAGAACAATTGGGTTCTGCGGGAACAGAAAAAGGTATTCAAAAAGGTTTGTCGACCAATCACGGGAAACGTTGGGGTTTGAAAAGAGTCAAACCATCTGATCCAGTAATGTCCCATCAGATGTCTAATCCACCTCATTACAATCGTCCTGTGAAACCATGGCTTTAGATTAGGCTTATTAAACATTTACTGGCCAGCAGAACAAAACCACCAAACTATATCTGCAGGAACTTGATTGGGTTATTGATCACATCCAGTGACTTGACAATTGCTTTGCCAGAGGATTACATTTCTCTGTCGACACTCTCTGTACCGTCTGCCATCTGGATTGTCAAATTCAAAGCAGGCGAGCTCTGGTGCGCACGTAACGGGGACACGTTGTCCATCAGCAGAAACAGCTTCAGAAAGATGTTTTTATTGGTGTAGTCTTCGACCCCCCCCCCCCCCCCCACCCACATATTGCAGAGTGATCTCCCACATCGTGTCAGTATTCGGTGGAAACCTGCTGACAGGTGAAGGAGCAGCTGGCGCCGTGGGAGCAGGTCACGGAGACACGGGACTCCCTTTATTGCACATTATAATGATACTGCAGCGAGTTTCCCCTTTCCTGCTGACGCGTGTCTTCTGATTTAGTTTGCTCGCTCTCAAAATTGAGCAAACAGGCAGCTCGTGGCGATGCAGCGTGGAGAGGTTGTTACACAATGTTTTTAACTTTGACGCGTCACTGAGGATGAACTGTTTCCTGTAATGGTTTCTCTTGGATTGTTATTCGTGATTCATCTCTAAAAACGGAATATGCAGCACAGGAATAATTTGCTGCATAGTTTTATAGTATCGGGGGAATCATGTTTCGATCATATCGTTGTTCAAAATTCTGTAATCCGTATCGATCAATCGAAGTAAAGTGTAGATAAAAACAAAAGGAAATAGTTGGAGTAGTTTGGTTTGATGTAATGCGTCATAAGTTTTGCGCATTCTTGCCATATCATGATCAATATCCAAAAACCTTGTCAGTATCATGATAATGTTTTAAATCAGCCAGAACTAGAAATATTCAGCATTTCCAAAGAGAATTTCTCGTGAAATAAAATAGTATTCAAATATACAAAAGGTCATTCACATTATTAATTAATCAGCAGTAAATCTTAATCACGATTAATTGATTATCAAACTGGTTGCTAATTAATTTTCTCGATGAAACAGTTTTGTAGTCGGTGCATTCAAGAGACAGTTCTAGCTACAAAGTGTGAAAGTAAAACCCCCCCAAACAACACATTTTAATTACTTTAAATCCACTCCAGCCAAATCCACATTTCCGCCATCTTTTCTTCAACAGAACTGACTAAAGATCATCACAACGTTAAAGTGAAATCTCCCGGCGTGGAGCCGGTAGGGTGTCAGTCTGCAGGTGTGACAGACAGCCTGGTAATCAGTGCTGCAGCCGTGACCGGCACAGCCGCAGGACATCAGCACGGAGGACACACAGGGGCCGCGTGAATTAGTAGTTCCACCATGTGGAAGTGGAGGTGTGTGTGAGTGAAGACGGATGACGTGTGTGTGCGTGCGTGTGTGTGTGTGTGTGTGTGTGAGTGAAGACGGATGACGTGCGTGTGCGTGTGTGTGTGTGTGTGTGTGTGTGTGTGTGTGTGTGTCTGTGCTGTAGATGTGACGGTGATCTCTGATCAGTATTCACCACTGGCAACAGATCTCAGAGGCTCTGAGCACAGCCATCTGGGCAGAGGAGAAACACACACGTACAAATTATTATACAGTACCACACACACACACACACCAGCACTGAGATATCACAAAAACACGTCCAATCAAGACAGTCACACGCACAAGTGTATTCACACATAAGCATTTTTTTCGTTTTAAGTAACACACACACACACACACCGACTGGGTCACAGATATTGTCCCGACACACACTGCATGTAATTATATACATATTTCATTCTATCTATATCGTTTGTCTGTTGAGACACACCGCAATTATGTAGATGTGTCAACATGGACCCTCATCATGCACACTTCAAGGAACACCGAATGAAGAAGACGACACATTCATTACAATTACGACTCAATAACACACACACACTCTCACACACACATCACGCCGTGGTGCAATGGTCAAAGTGTGATGAAAACACTTCCTGTCAGGTGGCCAGTGGAGTCCGTATGAGGATGATGAGCTGCGTTAAGCTTCATCACACTCACAATCAGCAGAGATGTTCCAGGTGATGAATGACGGCTTACAGACAGATCAGTGAGCTGGTGATTACTTCCTGTTTGGTGACGTTCTCTGAGTATTCTGGTGATAAATGATGTTCTCACTGCGACATCAGTGAAGTAGAATCAGCAGCGTTTGGTCAGTTCTTGCATCGATTGTTTTCGCTTTATTAAAGTAAAGAAAGAGGACTTGGAGTATAATCACATTATTACTGTTGTAATTCATCATAAGGTCATTATGAATGTAAAAGATTATAACGTATTACAACTTTGGGAATTATAATACACCATGAAATAAAATGACCGGCAGTTATGAACTTATAAGTGATTATAAGATGCTTTATAATGAGTTATGTCTCATTATGAATATCTGCGAGTGATATAACTATTATGAACATTATTAGTATGATTTGAAGTATTCACATAAAGCATTATGATTAGGTAACCGTTTGATTCGTGCTCTGTTTCGTACTCGATATTGGACGAGCACATTGACTTTAATGTTTTAAAGTAAGAGGATCAGGAAGGCAGACGACATGTAAAACACTTTACGTTTATAAAGCTGCACTTTCCCCCGAGACGCACTCGTTGTGCACAGTGCACCCCTGTCCTGTCCTCATCCCTTCAGTAGACGGAGGAGCACTGCTGCATACTCACACTTCTCTGCATGTTCTTGACCACAGTTGTATTCCCCCTGTCCTTTGAGCACAGCCTTCACGTGTTTGCACATGAGATGGAGTTGTGTGCAGAGATGTGCACGTCATCTTCCTCACCAGCGCTGACTTTACGCAGCTGCGACGCATTTTTATTGTTCTTAAGCAGCTATAACTTTCACCGCATTTTACCCAGAAACAGAAACAACAAAAGCAGTTACAAGATAAACACAATAGATGACATAACAATAAGGAACAACACCATACATAACAGCTTCACAGGTTAAAGAGGAGTAATGAACACCTGTCATGTGTTGATGCATTGGATGTCTTCACTAACGCCAACACAACCGTTGTCACATAATGATGAGATCAGCCTCTCATCAGAGCTGCAGAGATGTTTCCATCAATCAATCAGCCGATCAGCACCAGATGATCATCACATCATCAATTCACTCCTTTTCTAAACAACAATGCCAAACTTGTTCTTAAATGTGCAGATGTCATACTTCACTATGCTACACTGAGTACATTTACAAAACGCAGCTTTTAATAACACAAGATCTGCCTCCAAATCACATCACAAATGAGCCCAACACGACCCAGTTTAAAGGTTGTTCAGTCAGCAGCTCGATACTGAGAAGTATTACAAACTAACGTAGGATGAACAGTCTATTTAAGCAGCATATCCCTGTTAGCTCCATGTATAAAAACACAGCCCTGTAGTTCCAACATGGCACGTAACGTCTTCTGTTGATTCCACGCGTCTTTGTTGCTTTATAGCAGCTCCACATGTGGATGTATAGAAAGCATCCATTCTTCTCCAAGCATCAGATGAAATGGGTTTAAATACTAATGTGCTGCATCTTTGAAGAACAACCACTAATTATAAATCAGGTCAGACTGCATCCAGCTACACCAG